AATGTGTTCCTGCAGGTGTTTGTGCCGCGTGTTTTCCAGGCGCTTCTGGCTGCATATGCTGATGTGAAACTGTATAAACTCATCCTCCAGTGGGAAACGCCAGACGTGGCCAAATGGACAGTAAGATGACAATCTATATAAATTCACTTCAGTTCGTTCATTTGTTTATTTTCCTTCGGCTTAGTCCCTTATTTATTAGAGGTCACCCTTCCAGCCACAACCCACTACTGGGAAACATCCATACACTCTCACATTCACACACTCATACACTGCAGCCAATTGAGTTTATTCAATTCCCCTATAGCGCATGTGTTTGGACTGTGGGGGAAACCAGAGCACCAAGAGGAAACCCACGTCAACACGGGGAGAACATGCAAACTCCACACTGAAATTCCAACTGACCCAGCCGAGACTCAAACCAGCGACCTTCTTGCTGTGAGACGACAGTGCTAACCATTGAGCAATGGTGCCGCCCTCACTTCAGTAGTAATAAAAAAAATAGTACAATTTGTTAGATATTTTTACAATTATAAATAACTATTTTTTTTGTTCAGTTATGTAATTAAATGTAATTTAAGGGCATCCGCTGCATTAAACATTTGCCGGAATAGCTGGTGGTTCATTGCACTGTGGCGACCTCTGATAAATAAGGGACTAAGCCGAAGGAAAATGAATGAATGAATGATTATTGATGTTTTCACTTGTTCTGCTGTGTTTTCCAAGTGTTTCTGTCAGCTGTGTTCGTGGTTCACCTGGTTTTGCTGCAGTCGGACGCTGACAAACACTACAGAGACAGCTCTGACCACACTGGCGCTGTGCTTTTATCCTTTACCTGGATCCAAAGCACACAGCAGGTGCATCATTTACTGTCATTTATGCCCCCTGTATATTTTTTCCCGAATTGTTTTTAGTTTTATTAAACATATAATAGTTTTAACAACTCATTTCTAATAACTTTGCCATGATGACAGCCCATAATATTTGACAAAACATTGTTCAAGACACTAGTTTTCAGCTTAAAGTGACATTTAAAGGCTTAACTATGTTACTTAGGGTAAAGTTAGGGTAATTAGGCAAGTCATTGTATAACAGTGGTTTGTTCTGGAGACGATCCAAAACAAATATTGCTAAAGGGGGCTAATAATATTGACCTTAAAATGGATTTAAAATAATTAAGAATTGCTTTTATTCTAGTCGAAATAAAACAAATAAGACTTTCTCCAGAAGAAAAAATATTATAGGAAATACTGTGAAAATTTCCTGAATCTGTTCAACATCATTTGGGAAATAATTGAAAAAGAAAAGAATTCACAGAACGATGAATAATTCTGACTTTACTGTATTAACTGTCCATCATGGTACTTTAACATTGCTAAAGAATGAAGATATTCTTGCACAGACCTCTCAGTGTCTCTTGTTTTTCTGACTCTTTTGCAGCTGGAAGTATTTGACTCTGGTTTCTTTGGCTGTGGTCATTCGTCCCACGGCTCTGATCGTCTGGTTTCCTCTGATCTTCTATCATTTCTGTACAGATCAGGACAAACTGAAGCTCATCACACACAGATACTTTCCTATTGGGTAAATGCTCGATTTGTTTATAGTGTTTGGAGGCTGTTGATGTTTTTTAGGGATGCACCAAAAATACAGCCATGGAACATTGTTGGCTGAAAATGTCATTTTAGGAAAAATTTATGATAAAAAGCTAAAATGTTATAATGATTTCATTTTAATCAATGAAATGTTTTTTGACCAAACACTTTTAAATAAAAATAAATGAAAATTATTTGGTCAAAAAATATTTTAATTCAGTGAAATACAATTTGAAATTCACAATAAACGAAAAACTAAAATTGAACGAAACTAGCAGCAGTCACGTGAAAGCGAACTGAATAAAACAATAATTAGCAAAAATAAACATTATTTTCAGAATTAATATTCTGTGGCAAAAAATCTGAGCTGTTTATAAAAGTACAAAATTACTTTATATTATTTAAAGAACACCTATTTTAGCCCTTTTACAAAATGTGAGATAAGCCTTTGGTGTCTGCTAAATGTGTCTGTAAAGTTTCAGCTGAAAATACCCATCAGATTATTTCTTATAGCCTCCAGAATCTGCCCGTTTTGGTGTCTGAGTACAGTGCAGCTGCTTTTGTAGCCTGTGGCTTTAAATGCAAATGAGCTGCTTCTTCCCGCCCACCGTTCCACATATGTCTGCTTCTCATCATGCGTTACATCAAATAAACAGCAGTCAGTGACAGAGACAGACACGGGTGAAGCTGAAATACAGCTCACTAGTCAAAAATACCATCTAAGTTTGTTTGATGTATTTGTGGTGGAGTTTATTCAAGCCTTTCTGAAATGATGAGTCTCTCATAAATGCCACACACACACACACACATATATATATATATATATATATATATATATATATATATATGTATATATATATATATATATATATATATATATATATATATATATATATATATATATATATATATATATATGTATATATATATACGCATATTAGCATTTACTGACACCATCAGGCCGTGGTGATTATAGCGGTTAAGAATTAGATAGCAAATAAAAAAGTCTTTATTACAAACTTATAAAATTTATAAAAGTCAGGGAGTTAACATGTATTTTTATCCCAGTTTCTTTGGAAAATAAACAATCTGTGCACATGTTTATACATGCTATTATAGAAACATGGAGCCTGTCAATCAATTTGGTGGGCGGGGAAACTTCACTCCTATGTCACATTGCGGTGGGCCTCAAAATCACTGGGATTTGAGTCCTATTTTAGCGTCAAGACATTTAAAAAAAAAGAGAGAGACTTATTGTGTTTATATCATTCCAATAAGACTGTGAACATATACATACACACAGTTCTGTCCAAACAGCAAACAAAAGTTGATTGTCATCATAGGTGTCCTTTAATACAATAATAAATAATTTTTAAACAGGATTTTAGTGTTTCTGCCAAGTGCAGTATTTTCATGTCGGTACATCCTTAATTATTCATTTTTTTTGTGTGTGTGTTCATCAATGTCTCCATTATTTGTAGGGCTCTTGCACTGGGCGTCTCCACACTGATAGACTCTTTTTTCTATGGAAAGGTATTTTTCACTGCTCTTTAAACTCTTTCTAATTGCACAAATAAATACACACGTCTATAGCTCTAGAAAGCACAACAGCTAAAACAACAATATATAATGTTACCCTTTTTTTGTTGCTCACACATTTTCTTTGTTATATTTTATTAATGTTTATTATTTTATATTATGTAATAATAATTTTTATATATATATATACAGTTGAAGTCAGAATTATTAGCCCCCCTGTTTTTTTTTTCCTCAATTTCTGTTTAACGGAGAGAAGAATTTCTAATCATAATAGTTTTATTAACTCAGCTCTAATAACTGATTTATTTTATCTTTGCCATGTTGACAATAAATAGTATTTTACTAGATATTTCTTAAGACACTTCTATACAGCTTAAAGTGACATTTAAAGGCTTAACTAGGTTAATTAGGTTAACTGGGCAGGTTAGGGTAATTAGGCAAGTTATTTTATAATGATGGTTTGTTCTGTAGATTACCTGAAAAAAAGGTAGCTTAAAGGGGCTAATAATTTTGACCCTAAAATGTTTTTTAAAAAATTAAAAACTGCTTTTATTCTAGCCAAAATAAAACAAATACGACTTTCTCCAGAAGAAAAAATATTATCAGACATGCTGTGAAAATTTTCTTGCTCTGTTAAACATCATTTGGAAAATATTTAAAAAAGGAAAAAAAAATTCAGAGGGGGGCGAAAAATTCTGACTTCAACTGTATATATATATATATATTTATTTATTTATATATATATACATACAGTTGAAGTCAGAATTATTCATTCTCCTACGAATTTATATTCTTTAATATTTCCCAAACATTAAAAATTAAGGAATTTTTCACAGTATGTCTGATAATATTTTTTCTTCTGGAGAAAGTTTTATTTGTTTTATTTCGACTAGAAAAAAAACAGTTTTAAATTTTTTAAAAAACATTTTAAGGTTAAAATAATTAGCCACTTTAAGCAATATTTGTTTTGGATAGTCTACAGAACAAACCATTGTTATACAATGACTTGCCTAATTACCCTAACCTGCCTAGTTAGTCTAGTTCAGCCTTTAAAGTTTCCATAAACCGGAAGCTGCGACCGTTGTTCTCTAAGTAATGTGACAGTTCCTAGAGAATCAGAATTTTAAATGAGTGGGCGTGGCTTGTTTTTTCTACCGCTGGCTGAATGGACGTAGTAGAGTAGGCATTTCATTCAGACAGATTGGGAAAGGGGTTTTAGAAGAGTTATTACAACTTAAAAGACTCCTCCTGCTTACAATTTCTGTTTGTTGTCAAAACTGACAGCTTGAGCAGTGTTATTCAGTACCTGGATGGGAGACCACATGGGAAAGCTAGGTTGCTGCTGGAAGTGGTGTTAGTGAGGCCAGCAGGGGGCCCCCAACCTGCGGTCTTTGTGGGTCCTAATGCCCCAGTATAGTGACGGGGACTCTGTACTGCTCAGTGAGCACCGTCTTTCGGATGAGACGTTAAACCGAGGTCCTGACTCTCTGTGATTGTTAAAAATCCCAGGATGTCCTTCGCAAAAGAGTAGGGATTTAATCCCGGCATTCCGGCCAAATTTGCTCACTGGCCTCTGTCTATCATGGCCTCCTAACCCTCCCCATACCATAATTGGGGTACAAATTAATATAATTCAGCACAAAACTAGCAATGTGAGCTAACAAAAATAATATGATTAGTTTGGATTTCTTGGGGACTTTAAATGTCACTTCAAGCTGCATAGAAGTGTCTTGAAAAATAACTAGTCAGATATTATTTACTGTCATCATGGCAAAGATAAAATAAATCAGTTATTAAAAATGAGTTATCAAAACTATTATGATTAGAAATGTGTTGAAAAAATTGGGGGTAAAATATTCAGGAGGTTGAATAATGTTGACTTCACCCGCATATACAGTATTATAAAAATACAAATTTGTTTAGACATTTTCCAATTAATGATTGTGAAAGATGAAGCATGCAGTGTGTTTTAATCCTCATCACCATCTTGTGTGTTTTTGTGAAGTGGATCTTCGTGCAGTGGAACTTCCTAAAGTTTAACGTTCTGCACAATGTGGGTGAGTTTTACGGCTCTCACCCATGGCACTGGTACTGGACTCAGGGTCTGCCGGTGGTCATCGGCCCACACCTCCCGCTCGTCCTGCACGGATGCTTACTGTCCACCAGAAAACACACCATCCTACTGCTCACCATCATCTGGACCACTGCCGTATACAGGTCATATTTTAGTAAACATCCATAACATTGACTCTCTCCCTTTATCTAAATCCAGACTTAAAACTCATAGTTCATAGTTCAAAATGACGACTGCACGAGTCCACTCTGTATTGTTGGTTTTGTATTTTATTATTTATTCTTTGTTTTATACTGTTGGTATTATATTTGTTGTACGGTGACCTTGAGATTCTTAAAAGGCGCTTTTAATAAAATGTATTTATTATTACTAGTAGTAGTAGTCGTAGAAGTAGTAGTAGTTAATGAGAAATAAAACTCAGACTAAAACTACTGGTCAAAAGCACCCTGTAAAAATAAAGATGAATTAAACTGAATATATATTTCCCCCAGAGTGTAAATCTATAAACATGCAACAATAGAAGAAAAATAATTATTTTAATTAAATAAATCTCATGACGTTTTGTTTTTTTTGCAGTTTGCTTGCACACAAGGAGTTCCGGTTCATTTATCCTGTGTTGCCGTTCTGTGTGATATTTTGCGGTGAGTATTTAGCTTTTAGTGACAATTTTAAAACATTCTCTTTTCTTAGTATGCACCCACATGAACAAAATACTACTGTACAGTAAATACTATAGTGTTTTTGAAGCATACTGCAGTAAAATGTATTATACTGTATATATTATAGTATCCATAACTCTTTGTTAATGAATGCACAAGTATACTGTAGTATACTTTAGTTTTACCACAGTAAACTTTGGTATATAGTAGTATAATATACCCTATAGTTGTAGAAAACTACAGTACTGCGTCATTTGTTTACATTACAGTAGTTGAGCTGTTACCATAGCAACTATAGAATCACCCTAACACAATATTTGTTATAGCTGTACTGTTACTACCACATTACTTACTATAGCTGTCCTGTTACCATAGCAACTATAAAATTATTATATAGAACTGATTAATAACTATAGCTGTTTAGATACCATAGCAATTCTAGTACTGCCACAACACAATAATTACTATAACTGTCATGTTACCACAACAGCTATAGAATCACATCAACAGACTAAATACTATAGCTGTTGTGTTACCATAGCAACTATAGAATCACCACAACAGACTAATTACTATAGCTGTCATGTTACCATAGTAACTTCGGAATCACCACAACACAATAATTACTATAGCTGTAGTGTTACCACAGCAACTTTAGTATCACCTCAACAGATGAATTACCATAGCTGTTATGTTACTATAGTAACTATAGAACCACCACAACAGACTAATTACTATAGCTGTCATGTTACCATAGTAACTATAAAATCACCACAACAGACTAATTACTATAGCTGTCATGTTACCATAGCAACTATAGAATCACCACAACACATTAATTACTATAGCTGCCGTTACCATGGCAACTATATAATCACCACAACACAGTAATTACAATAGCTGTTGTGTTACCATGGCAACTACAGAATCACCACAACACATTAATTACTATAGTTGTTGTGTTATCATGGCAACTATAGAATCACCACAACAGAATAATTACAATAGTTGCTGTGTTACCATGACAACTATAGAATCACCACAACACATTAATTACTATAGTTGTTGTGTTATCATGGCAACTGTAGAATCAGCACAACAGAATAATTACAATAGTTGTTGTGTTACCATGGCAACTATAGAATCACCACAACACAGTAATTACAATAGCTGTCATGTTACCATAGCAACTATAGAATCACCACAACACATTAATTACTATAGCTGCTGTTACCATGGCAACTATATAATCACCACAACACAGTAATTACAATAGCTGTTGTGTTACCATGGCAACTACAGAATCACCACAACACATTAATTACTATAGTTGTTGTGTTATCATGGCAACTATATAATCACCACAACAGAATAATTACTATAGTTGTGTTATCATGGCAACTGTAGAATCAGCACAACAGAATAATTACAATAGTTGTTGTGTTAACATGGCAACTATAGAATCACCACAACACAGTAATTACTATAGCTGTCATGTTACCATAGCAACTATAGAATCACCACAACACATTAATTACTATAGCTGCCGTTACCATGGCAACTATATAATCACCACAACACAGTAATTACAATAGCTGTTGTGTTACCATGGCAACTATATAATCACCACAACACAGTAATTACAATAGCTGTTGTGTTACCATGGCAACTACAGAATCACCACAACACATTAATTACTATAGCTGTGGTGTTACCATAGCAACTATAGAATTACCACAACAGATGAATTACTATAGCTGTAGTGTACCACAACAACTGTAGAATCACCACAACACACTAATTCGAGTGTTTAAAACACACTGTAGTATTTACTATAAATAATGGCTATAGTGGTTGTTTTTCATACGGGTGTTCAAACACTGTTTCTGACAGGTCTTTCATTAGCGAAGCTGCAGGCGTGGAGGAAAGCTGCTGCTGGTGCCCTGCTGCTCTTCAATCTGTGTCCTGCTTTATATACGGGTTTAGTTCACCAGCGTGGAGCTCTGGATGTCATGCATGTCCTGCAGCCGCTGTGTGTTGCTAGTCAATCTCCAAACCCACCTGAGCTGCTGTTCCTCATGCCCTGCCACTCCACACCTCTCTACAGGTGACGGCCTGCAGACACAGACAGATCAATCTCACATACAGCTTTACGTTTTGGGTTTTCTCCTGTTTAGGTATAGTTTTTTTCTAAACAATGCATGGTTTTCTGCAGCTAGCTTGGTTAGCACAGTTATAGCTGTGTAAATAGTTTCCAACATGATTTAACACACTGATTGAATGTTTCAGCAAAATGTTAGCCTGGACACATTCCTAACATGCTTTAGTGCTGCTAACACATTTTAGCACATTGTTAATGTTTCTAACATGATTTAGTACTGCTAATATACAACAGCACATTGCTAACATGTTTCTAACCTGACTTAGTACTGCTAACAATTAAGTCCATTGGTAACATTTCAAACTTGATGATTGCCACTGCTACCATGTTTTAGCTCATTGCTAGCATGTTTCTAACATGATTTAGTACTGCTAATATAGAATAGCCCATTGCTAACCTGTTTCTAACCTGATTAAGAACTGCTAACATTTTAAGCACATTGGTAACATTTTAAATGAGATTTTTGCCACTGCTATCATGTTTTAGCACATTGCTAGCATGTTTCTAACATGATTTAGTACTGCTAATATACAACAGCACATTGCTAACATGTTTCTAACCTGACTTAGTACTGCTAACAATTCAGTCCATTGGTAACATTTCAAATTAGATTTTTGCCACTGCTATCATGTTTTAGCATGTTTCTAACGATTTAGAACTGCTATCATATTTTAGCACATTGCTAGCATGTTTCTAACCTGATTGTTTTTAATGCTAATATTGAGCACATTAGTAATAATTTAAACTCTTTTTTCCACTGCTATCATGTTGTAGCACAATGCTAACATGTTTCTAACCTGACATAGTACTGCTAACAATTCAGTCCATTGGTAACATTTCAAACTTGATGATTGCCACTGCTACCATGTTTTAGCATGTTTCTAACGATTTAGTACTGCCATTATGTTTTAGCACATTGCTAGCATGTTTCTAACCTGATTTTGTAATGCTAACATTTTTAGCACATTAATAATATTTCAAACTCGATTTTTGCCACTGCGATCATGTTTTAGCACATTGTTAGCATGTTTCTAATGATTTAGTAGTGCTATCATGTTTTAGCACATTGATAGCATGTTGTTAATGATTTAGTACAACTATCCTGCTTTAGCACGTTGCTAGCATGTTTCTAACCTGATTGTTTTTAATGCTAATATTGAGCACATTAGTAATAATTTAAACTCTTTTTTTCCACTGCTATCATGTTGTAGCACATTGCTAGCATGTTTCTAACCTGATTGTTTTTAATGCTAATATTGAGCACATTAGTAATAATTTAAACTCTTTTTTCCACTGCTATCATGTTGTAGCACATTGCAAACATGTTTCTAACCTGACTTAGTACTGCTAACAATTCAGTCCATTGGTAACATTTCAAATTAGATTTTTGCCACTGCTATCATGTTTTAGCATGTTTCTAACGATTTAGTACTGCTATCATGTTTTAGCACATTGCTAGCATGTTTCTAACCTGATTTTGTAATGCTAACATTTTTAGAACATTAGTAATATTTCAAACTCGATTTTTGCCACTGCGATCATGTTTTAGCACATTGTTAGCATGTTTCTAATGATTTAGTAGTGCTATCATGTTTTAGCACATTGATAGCATGTTGTTAATGATTTAGTACAACTATCCTGCTTTAGCACATTGCTAGCATGTTTCTAACCTGATTGTTTTTAATGCTAATATTGAGCACATTAGTAATAATTTAAACTCTTTTTTTCCCACTGCTATCATGTTGTAGCACATTGCTAGCATGTTTCTAACCTGATTGTTTTTAATGCTAATATTGTGCACATTAGTAATAATTTAAACTTTTTTTCCACTGCTATCATGTTGTAGCACATTGCTAACATGTTTCTAACCTGACTTAGTACTGCTAACAATTCAGTCCATTGGTAACATTTCAAATTAGATTTTTGCCACTGCTATCATGTTTTAGCATGTTTCTAACGATTTAGTACTGCTATCATGTTTTAGCACATTGCTAGCATGTTTCTAACCTGATTTTGTAATGCTAACATTTTTAGAACATTAGTAATATTTCAAACTCGATTTTTGCCACTGCGATCATGTTTTAGCACATTGTTAGCATGTTTCTAATGATTTAGTAGTGCTATCATGTTTTAGCACATTGATAGCATGTTGTTAATGATTTAGTACAACTATCCTGCTTTAGCACATTGCTAGCATGTTTCTAACCTGATTGTTTTTAATGCTAATATTGAGCACATTAGTAATAATTTAAACTCTTTTTTTCCCACTGCTATCATGTTGTAGCACATTGCTAGCATGTTTCTAACCTGATTGTTTTTAATGCTAATATTGTGCACATTAGTAATAATTTAAACTTTTTTTCCACTGCTATCATGTTGTAGCACATTGCTAACATGTTTCTAACCTGACTTAGTACTGCTAACAATTCAGTCCATTGGTAACATTTCAAATTAGATTTTTGCCACTGCTATCATGTTTTAGCATGTTTCTAACGATTTAGTACTGCTATCATGTTTTAGCACATTGCTAGCATGTTTCTAACCTGATTTTGTAATGCTAACATTTTTAGAACATTAGTAATATTTCAAACTCGATTTTTGCCACTGCGATCATGTTTTAGCACATTGTTAGCATGTTTCTAATGATTTAGTCATGCTATCCTGCTTTAGCACATTGCTAGCCTGTTTCTAACCTGATTGTTTTCAATGCTAACATTTTTAGCACATTAGTAATAATTTAAACTCGATTTTTGCCACTGCTATCATGTTGTAGCACATTGCTAGTATGTTTCTAACATGATTCTGTTCTGCTAACTTGAGCATATTGCTTTTGCATAAATGTAGAGTAGTTTTTGTAGTTATATCTGTTAAAGTATCTCCTATATTGCAGCTTACATCAACATTATGATAACATCGTATCGTGTTTTGTAATAAAATGTTCAGCAATTATCACATCAACAAAATCTGATTCTGTCCTATGCTCATTCTCCAGTCACCTCCACTGTCCTCTAAAGCTGCGCTTCCTGGAGTGTCCACCGGATCTGACTGGACGGCAGGATTATATGGATGAAGCTGAAGTTTTCTTCTCAGATCCGCTTCACTGGCTCAACACATCCTTCCCTTTGCGGTCCACACTGCCTTCACATTTAGTGCTGTTTGACTCCCTGCAGAAGGTATACACATCCCAAAACAAAGACATGATGACTTACTGACAGTGTTGGGGAAAACGCCAGCTACATAATAATATTACTTTAAGTAACAAGTTATGCATTAAAAAAAATTAAGTAATAATATTTGAGTAACTTTTTAATCTAAATGATTAGCTGGTAACACTTTAGTTTAATGGTCCGTTGTTAACAAGTAGGCTAACTATGCAGGAAGTAATAAGCAGTAAACAGTAGATACTCACCGGCCACTTTATTAGGTACACCTGTCCAACTGCTCGTTCACGCAAATTTCTAGTCAGCCAATCACATGTCAGTAACTCAATGCATTTAGGCATGTAGACACGGTCAAGGTTCAAATGGAGCATCAGAATGGGTAAGAAAGGGGATTTAAGTGACTTTGAACGTGGCATGGATGTTGGTGCCAGACGGGCTGCTCTGAGTATTTCAGAAACTGCTGATCTACTGGGATTTTCACGCACAACCATCTCTAGGGTTTACAGAGAATGGTCTGAAAAAGAGAAAATATCCAGTGAGCGGCAGTTCTGTGGGTGCAAATTCCTTGTTGATGTCAGAGGTCAGAGGAGAATGGCCAGACTGGTTCCAGCTGATAGAAAGGCAACAGTAACTCAAATAAGCACTCGATACAAAAGAGGTCTGCAGAAGAGCATCTCTGAACACACAACACGTCCAACCTTTCTGTACTGTGAGTCTCGCCTGATGATTTGTTTCTCTTTCAGGAGATTTCTTCATTCCTGGAGGAAAACAGCTTTGCCAAACAAGCTGAAATATTCCACACTCACTTTCCTGAGGGGCGAGTGGGAAAGAATATATTAATATACAGCAGAAGATCTGAAATGAAGATTAATGATGGTTTCATCCTTTAAAGATGTACTGTATTAATAATGCTTTGAGTTTCTGTCTCGTTTTTAGTCTAAATATCCTTAAATCAAGACGCATTTTCTAGACATGTGCAAACTATTGTTTTGTTTTCATAAATAATATGTGGAAATAAAGATTTTCTTTAAAACAAGCTAAGTTATCTGCCGAATGCATGTGGTTAGTAAAATAATCTTATCTCAAAGCAAAAACAGGATCATTTACTTACAGTACATGTGCAAGATTTACCACTTTATTACTCCATTGGCATTTCATTTTATAAATAAAATTAACCTCTTCAGTTTTCAGTTCTGACAATAAAACAACATTTATGTTTTTAAAATAATCAGATAGTTATATTAAAATAATCAGATTATTATATAATAATAATAATAATAATATATATATATATATATATATATATATATATATATA